TACACTTTTGTTTTCCTTATTGGAGGTACATGCACTATAACAAAAGCAACATTTAGCGGCAATGAATATACACATTAACAAAGAGTGCTAAAACCTTTATCGGCATTAGTTAATTGTCATTGGATCCAATGTCACTAAAGGTTTTAGGAACATATACAAAGAGAGCTAATTACCGCTAAAAGTACATATTTAACGGCAATTAAGCTATTGTCGTTAATTAATTGTCGCTAAAAATTATTTTTTGTGTAGTGATATAAGATAGTCCTTACCTCGTTGGATTAGTTATCCACTATTTATACTATAGTAACGAGATATCTCATATACATGATGAAATAGTTTATTTCGAGATTAATAATAACTTATTTCTAACCAAACGACTTTTAAGTTTGTACTAGAAACTAAGATGTTGTGAGACATATATGTCCATTCATCTTACACTTTTTTTTCTTGAATTTGAATTAAATGGACCACTCTAATCATAACATAAATATACATGTATGTATCTATACAGCAAGTACACATTAACTTAAAAAATAAAATAAAAAATGGTCCCCATAAAGTAGTTGGATTTATAGAAATGTCACATTCAACTTTATTTTTCACAGTAATGGGCTAACCTCATTTGGACCGTAATTTTGTAGTAACTTTTAAAAGCCCAACTACTTTGGTAGTGTAAAAAATTCTGCACACCTAATTTTTATAGCCTTAAAATTGATGATCCCTATTTGCCTATACACATACATATAGTGTTAGACAAAGCATGCATCACTGCAAAATTTTCATTGAGTCTTTTTCTTTTAGCCGCTAGATTAATTAATAACACATGTAGTGTGTAGTCGTTTCGTAGCTGGTTAGAATTATACAGGTAATAGTAATGTCGGGATTAATTATGAGTGAATATTTATATAGATGTTAGTTAAGCAGTGATTAGTTACATAAAATAACACATAGATTTTTTTCCGTAACTTATATATACATGTATTAGTAATGCAGGTTTCTAAATTGTCAATTAAATGTTCTATTGATTTTATACATGAATAACTTATTTCTTATCTATTACCAAACGTCGTATAAGTTACACATAAATTAATACATTGATAACTTGTTTCTTATATATCCGATTACCAAACTATACTTTATGGTTTAGAGGCGGATTTTGGACAAGCTTAGCAATTTTGAGTGAGTGATTTTGAATTTTTTATTTGGTTTGTTTAATGAATTGAAACTTTAAGTTTAATAAGTTTTGATTTATAAATATCATATTATTATCGTTAAATATTTATCGCAAAATTCTTTATTTATCGTAGTGAGGTACATTGGAATAGCACGTAAATGGATCACCAAATTAACCCAACTTTTGGTGGGAAAACATGGATATAACTCTTCAAACGTGTTTAAACCTAAACCTTAAATACATTTAGAAAAGACTAAGTAGTTACAAGAAATGTTTATTAATATAATAATATTGTATCCCTACCAATACGCAAATATATTGACTTAGAGAAAAAGTTAGAGACATAATTAAGAACAGAAGAGGAAAAAAGGACAGATGTTAATGGTCGCCAAGTACCCACGTTATAAAAATAAAATTAATAAATATCTAACTCAATCTTGCAACGTAATTTAATTTTTTTTAGTTCTAATTTAGGTGATACTTTTTACGCTCTTGAAATTTTATTAATGTCGAAAAGTTTTGAATATTTAATTTTAATATTGAAATAATAAATTAGTTTAATTTATTTTGACGTTAAAAATATTAGTTGAGTTGAGTTTCGGAAAGCAAAAAATATCATATGTATTGAAACGAAGAAAGTCGTGATATTTTTGTTGCAACCAGCTGGATGATCAAAGGTGATCGCTGCGCGCTGCATGGGGTGATTTGAATCTTCTTTTTTTTCTTTTGGTTGAAAATATAATTTTTGTGTTTTAATTTATATGTCTGATTTTGATTTGATATGGAGTTTAAAAAAGTAAATAATTTTTTTTAATTCGTGATCTTAACTAATATATAGTATGTAATAAAATATTATTTAATTTTGTAATTTTAGCTATGTCAAGTGTGAAAAATTAATATTAAAGAATTGTAAAAAAAGAAAAATGAATTAAAAAGGATAATACCCTTATATATTAAAACAGAGAACATGTATTATGCATAACAAATAAGTGCATCATAACAAAAGGAAGTGCTATAGTTAGCACTAGTACTTGATCAAACTATTATGGTAATTTTTCTTATGAAGCAAATTTTAGATCGAGGACATGATCTTAAAAAGAAAAGCATGAAGGATCATATTATGAGAAAATGTTAGTAGGTTGTGTAATGTGGGTCATTGTACAAGTCGTATTAATGTAACTCTTGTTCTTTTATATTTATTATTATTTATTATTGTTTGTCAGATATTAGTTGTATTCTCTGTTATCGTTTTCAATAATCTATCCTAGTATGTTATTGATTATGTTTCGATTATTACATTATTTTATTGTTGTTTATGTTTTTTTCTGCTAGACCTTGCACCGTTTCCTTGTTACCTTCTATATTTTCTCCACCCTCTTCTTCTTTTTGTACCCGGATTTGTTGTAGTTGGGCCAACGATATTTTGGAAACAACCTCTCTACTTTTACAAAATAGTGATAAAATTTATGTATATTCTACCTTTTCAAGACCATTTATAAAATTTCACTATTATAATTTTTTATTTTTTTATTACATGAGAAGTAGTGGCAAAGAAATAACACAAAAATAAAATGATAATTGAATTACTACTTTCCAATTGATAACTCAAAGATAGTACATTTGAAGTGGACTTAATGTTGGTACATGCCCCCAACCCATATTTGTAGTATATTTCGTCCATTATTAATTTGGAGTTTGCTGTCCTCTTTATAGTATTTTGCAATAATTAATACATCCAATAATTTTTCAATAACTAAATAATTCATATGAATATTATAGTAAAATACTCATATTAATCATTATTTCTTAAAAAACATGTAAAATTTAAAACGGACAATGAAATATAAACCAAGAGAGTAAAAAAATTGTAGTTTAATTTATTCTCTCTAATAGTTGAATTCTTCATGCACTTTATAAGTTTATTTACCAATATAAAATTACAAGTCATTTTCACTACGATTTAAAAGAGCTGTAACATATTGTTATTATCATAGTAATATATAATAATATTACAATAATCTTGACTCAACGGTTAGAGTATTACAAGCATTAATTGGATTTTGTTTTTTCCTCTCGTTCTTTTTTTTCTTTATGAATTGTTGTTAGAAATGACAGAGACTACGCGTATGAAAGTATTTATTTAACCTTTAAACTATTGGCCTTTTAGCAAAATTGAGAGAATTGAATATTAATGTGCCAAGCTTTAGAAACGGATGCCAAATAAAAAATTGAGATACTCATTGAACATATCTATTTCATTTATTTATTTTTATCTAAAGCTTTAATTTAATGTTAGTAATTTAGTATCCTAATGAATCTATATGGACCCTTAATTATATTCTAGTTAAGAACAGATTTTAATTAACAAGAACCTTTTAGTATATTCTTTTAGTTAAGTAAACATGTAAATACAATAATTAAGGCATTTTCCCCATTCCTTTTTTACTTTGCCTTCACGCTCTGTTTCGAATCTAGTAGATGTAGTACAAATTAAGAATGAGCACTGTAAAAGCTAACTTACTTGAATGTTTTCTACTAAGATCCACGAGGATCGTGATATAGTGATAAATATTTACTTTATTTGTATAGTTTGAAAGTTTCGAATTCGAGCATAAGACATTAGTTAGAGAATACTTTGTATTTAATATGAGACTTTGCAATATAAATTTAATTTTAATCGGACCTTAATATAAATATCAAATACCAAATAAGAATTGGGAAAAAAATTCTGATAGGAAAATAACCCTTTAAAGTTTGAATTATAAAGGGTTTAAGCGAGTGAGGAGTATCTCCTTTTGAAAACATTTAATTTATAAACTCACTAAATGTTTTTTCTTCTTATTATGATAATCGTAATGTTTGAGATAGTTTTTGTGTATTTGAATTAATTTATCGAATACATGTCATTTTCTGTCAACAATAACATGTACCAGGTGGGAGGTAAGTATGTTTATCAAATTTAAGACAAATGAAAAGAAATTACTTGTTACGAGATTTATGCCACAGAAAAATGCCAACTTCTTTCTTCTTTGACTTTCAATTGACAATACTATTGTTTCGACAATCACAAAACTCCCGATAGATCATAGATTTTGATGTTAAAAAATTTATATTTTTAAAGTTACAATTTCTTAAAGTTGAATTATGTTTGAATATGTATTTTATTTGAATTTGCCTTGAAGTTTTGTGAGTGAAAGTCCCAAAAATCCAAAAAATTGTCTGAACCAATTTGTGAAACTTAAAATTCTTTTGAACATATTCTTAATCACAGATCCAAATTTATTATGAAATAATTATTTAAAGATAATTTTCAAAGATTTAATCTCAAATCTATCATCAAACTCTAGCTAAATCAATACTCAACACTCTTTTTGTAAACTTTACCATAGCATAACCCATAACCAAAAACACTTTAACTTACATCTCTGCAAGTAGACATTCATGACTTTGAATATGTGCATTTAGATAACTTAACTCATTTTTACTATGTTATTTAAATATTCTAACTTACAAAATGATCATCTAAATACATTTAAAATTTATATGTCACGTTAGTATTGAGTGTCCACGAGACACAATTCAACAAACAAGTTGAATTGTGTAATTATCCATTGAAACTAGATTAAGTAATCTAGACGTGCACTCTCAAAAGTTGAAGTGCTTACGTATCCGCTCTATTATGCCTTTTTTACTATTATCCATTATCACAACTTACCATTTGTTCCTTAAGAAAAAACACACAACCCAACACTAAAAAACCCAATAAAAGAAAATAATTTAGTACTATGTTTTTCTCTTAAATAAATAAAAAAAGCATCTTCCCAAAAACCCCGCACATACCCTTAACAAACACAGCTACTTCACAACTCACCACACGACATCTTCTCCATCTTCTTCCTCTTTCTCCCCTCTTCAATGGTCGCTTCTTTAACCCTCTGTAGATCTGAACAGAACTGAAAAAACTGGGAAAATCCATTTCATTACTGTACGATCACACCATTTTTTCATAACGCACACCAAGTGTTTGATTAATTGCTTGTGTGAAGAAAAAAAATACGGTATTCGTTTGAATTTGAGACCCCCAGTTGGATTAAGCTGGGGGTAATTGTGGGGCATTTTCATTTCCCAGATGGGAATGCCTGTAAGACGATGAGCAAAACCAGAGACGAAGAAGAAGAGGACGAGCGATTTCACGACTCACTTGACCGGTTACTTTCTTCTACTAATACTTCTTGTTCTTCATCTCCTTCTTCTGATAACGAAGAAGACGATATTAAGGATCTTAGTTTCAATTTGGGGTCTCCTAACTATGGTGTTTCGGAGCCGCTTCCGGTACCGAGATTCCCAAGGGGTGTATCGAATAACTATGATGTATGGATCTCTGAACCCATCTCCGTTGATGAACGACGTATTAGACTCCTCAGTCAAATGGGTCTTGCCCGTGACCCTTCTCTCCTCCGCCACAGACCGTCACTCTCACAGTCTGCTGCTGCTGACTACGATTTTGACGAAAGACCGGAGATTTTTGGCAGATCGGTTTCAGAAAATCTTTTGAAGTGTCCACTTGCCGGCGGTGAGGGTATTTCTAATAGTATTAATTCCAAAATTTGTTGTATTGAGAGTAATGTTTGTGGGATCGTTCGATCAAAATCGGATGGTGATCGCAATTGCTCTAATTGTTGTTGTTCTCATTCAGTTCACAAAAATACTGAAGTTATTTCCTTGAATTCTACTTCCATTTCATCAGTACAAGTAAATATGGCCAATGGGGTTGACGGTATAGTTGTACATAATAACCGAAACCGTAGTAAAAGTCTCTGCGAGGATCTATTTCGTAATGGCAATGGATCCCCGAAGAAGCCACCCACAGGAAAGACGAGAGCTGATTCCACAAATAATGGGACCTGTAATTCGTTGCCGGTGCTGGCGAATAATGAGGTGGAGGAAGGGTTGGAATCAAATGGAGATATCGGAATTGAAGAGCAGCTGTGCACAATAAAGAATCTTGATGATGGGAAGGAGTTTGTGGTTAATGAAGTTAAGGAAGATGGGACTTTGAAAAAAGTCAAGGAAGTGGGTACAGGAAGGCAGTTGACCATAGAAGAGTTTGAGATGTGTGTTGGGACATCACCAATTGTTCAAGAACTGATGAGAAGGCAGAATATAGAGGATGGGAATAAGGATAGTTTGGATGGTAATACAAATGAGGATGTTGAAACTGGATCCAAGTCGAAGAAGAGGGGAAGTTGGTTGAAGAGTATCAAAAATGTGGCTGGTGCTATGACAGGTTATAAGGAGCGGCGGAGCAGTGATGAGAGGGATACATCATCTGAGAAGGGTGGCAGAAGGTCAAGCTCGGCTACAGATGATAGTCAGGATGCTTCTTTTCATGGGCCTGAAAGAGTACGGGTTCGGCAGTACGGAAAGTCCTGCAAAGAACTTACAGCACTGTATAAGAGCCAAGAGATACTGGCACATACTGGGGCTATTTGGACCATCAAATTTAGTTTGGACGGGAAGTATCTCGCTAGTGCTGGTGAGGACTGTATAATACATGTCTGGCAGGTTACTGAATCAGAGAGGAAGGGTGACCTATTGCTTGATAAGCCAGAAGACGGGAATTTAAATCTCTTGCTTTTGGCAAATGGATCTCCAGAGCCAACTACAATGTCACCAAATGATGGCCACCCGGAGAAGAAAAGAAGAGGAAGGTTGTCTATAAGTCGAAAATCAGTGAGCTTTGACCATGTTTTGGTACCGGAAACTGTTTTCGCACTTTCAGAAAAGCCCATCTCTTCATTTCAGGGGCATGTGGATGATGTGCTTGACCTCTCATGGTCCAAGTCTCAGGTTAGCTGGCACTCTTTATTTTCATATTGGACACTTTCTGGACCCTTGCCTACCCTACAAAAGAATTAAGCTTTCTTTACATTCCTTAATGCTAAACATTTCACCAATATGAATATGCCATGAGAAGTCGTATGTACCTTGTCAAATATCTTTGAATACTACCTCTCAAATGAGAACATATTTGAACAGTAATTCCGCAGGGGAGTACATGGCTTGTAATAGATAAGAAGTGAAAGCTGATTTTTCAATTCAGACACAATAAAGATGATTCTTTTGGACTCAGATGTCAGCTAGTTTATTATTTTATCAATCAACGTCTCGTCTTCCACTTACCTTCTTGTTCCCCTGAGAACCAATAAAATTGATTAAGACTAGCAATCCATTTGCCATCGGTTCTGGTTGAGGGACAACTAATTCAGGGTTTGAGTGTGTGCTGAATATAGATTTCTGCCAAGGTGGATCTAGTACTATGCAATGCTTCTTACTTTACTATGAAAGGTTTGCTGGAGGTATACTAGGATTGGTTCTTCATCTGTTCTGACAGAATGATATCACAGAGTTAATTTTGTGTGCAAGTACACAAGAAGATGAAATGAAGAGTCATTTAATCTCTTTATAAGATGATAAATAGTAGCATGGCTCGACACTGTATGTGACTCTACTTTTCCTGGAGCTATCTGAGCTTGTTCACGAGTGCACGTTCTGTTCTTATCTGTCCCCTTCTGTTGGAGGGGAAAAAATACTCCTATCTTTTATTGTAGTTGCTTTGTCTCACCCATTTGTGAAAGATGGATACCAAAGAGCAGACCAATGAAACTTGATTCTATCCACCATACAGTATCTCGCGTTAAGCTTTCCTTAGTGGACTGCCAGTTAACACTTTCGCAGTTACTTGTTTCTTTCTTGTTTATGACATAAGCAAATATCTTGTAATGAGAATAAATGGCTGTATTCTGTTAACTTTCTTAAAAAAATAAATAAATGGCTGTATTCTAATGGACAAAAGGGTTGATCTGGCTGCTATTTATATCAAATGGCTCAGGCTGTTGTGGCTCGTGGTCATCTTTTTTTGGTGCTTAAATTAACTTACCAACTTTTAAATTCAATTGTATAGAGAAATCTGGCAGATTTAGAATGATACAGCGTAACCACTTACTTTGCTCCATTTCCTTCCTCGGTTCTGAGAATATATCCAGATGGCATTTTATGGTTATTGATGCTGGATGATTCTTTAAAGTTGCACAGTTCTTAATAAAAAAATGATTAGTTAAAGTTGCATAATTTAATGGTTTTATTTGATGACTCCTGATATTTTTTCTGATAAGTGGGAACCCTTGAAGCATTTGTTTCCTGTTGCTTTCTAAAATTTGGGTTGTTGGACCCACAGGCCACATGCCATTAGGTTCTTTGGATTAGTGAGCTAATTATTTTACTTTTCTCTGATACATTCTATCACTGTCCTTTCACAGCATTTGCTTTCATCTTCAATGGACAAAACAGTGCGGCTGTGGCATTTGTCTAGCAAGTCTTGTTTGAAGGTCTTCTCACATAGTGATTATGGTATGTCTATTGAACCGAGCTCTTATTTTTTCACCCTTCCACTCCCCATGGTTTTTTAAGTCTAATGAATATGAACACCAATGTTTGTTAAGAATTTTAGAAATAACTATAATGACCTAGAAATTACATACACTGGAACTTTTTCACTAATTGACTCATTGCAGTGTGCTCTTGACTTCCTTTCTTTGGCACAGTAACCTGCATCCAGTTTAATCCTGTTGATGATAGATACTTTATCAGTGGATCCCTAGATGCTAAGGTTCGCATATGGAGCATTCCAGAGAGGCAAGTTGTTGATTGGAATGATCTGCATGAGATGGTCACTGCCGCTTGCTATACACCAGATGGTCAGGTGAGACTATTGAACATAGTGCTCATTGTGATGTTAGGTTAAACCATTGGTAGATGAGAAACACTTAGGATTTGGATCCTTCCAATTTTAGTTACTAAATTTTTGATTGTTGTTTGAAGGGTGCATTTGTTGGTTCATACAAGGGGAATTGTTGTCACTACAACACATCAGGTTTGATTTGTTGTCCCTCATGTTTCCTTGTTCCCCCTCCATTCTCATTCTTCTCTAGAGGCAAAATAAGCACTCAGCATGCTGATGTTTTGTGCCTCTCTGTTTTCAGATAATAAATTGCAGAAAAAAGTTCAAATCAATCTGCAGAATAAGAAGAAGAAGGCTCACCAGAAGAAAATTACTGGTTTCCAGGTAATTCATAATTGATTGCTGTTAGATGCATTTGTTTTTGCCTCAGTTGATCTTAGTACCTCTTTTTTCTCCAAGTATAGTTGTTCAAAAACTTAAAAATACTTTCCCCCTCCTTTGTTAACTGGAGGTTTGGGGCATAATGTGTGTATTTACGCATATCTTTCTAATAACCTTAATGTGCAACAGATGGAATAATAGTTGTTGTCTGGATAAATTTACATTGTAACCTTCATGAATTCCTTGGTTGCTGATAAATTTAAATGTACAGTTTGTGCCAGGGAGTACATCAGAAGTGCTTATAACATCTGCAGATTCGAGAATTCGGGTGGTTGATGGTGTTGATCTTGTCCACAAGTTCAAAGGTACATTGAAACTGCTATAATTATCTTATAAAGCTGGTCAGTTACTGAATGAAGTTTATAGTTAGTTCCACTTGACCTTTTGAGATGTTGGTCTTCCTGCACAATTTTCAGCTTTAATTTCCCCCATGCTATATCCTAGTATTGAGTTAGCACCAACTATGACAGGTTTTCTTAATACAAACAGCCAAATCTCAGCCTCTGTGACTGCTGATGGTAGATATGTGGTCTGTGCCAGTGAGGACTCACATGTCTATATCTGGAAACATGAAGGTGATTCTCGGCCAAGCAGGAATAGAGGCGTTACCATTACACAGTCGTATGAGCATTTCCATTGTCAAGATGTTTCAGTGGCCATTCCTTGGCCTGGCATATCCGATAATTTGAGACTTTCCGATTCCTCATTAGGGGAACAAAATGGGCATGCTGATCATCTCGACGAGGTTTCCACTGCCAACCATCCTCCTATACCCATTGAAGAGAATGGCTCCGAGTGCTCACCTCTGGTATCTAGCTGCAGTAACAGTCCTCTTCATGGGACTTTAAGTGGTGCCATGAACAGCTACTTCTCTGATAAATTCTCAGCAACATGGCCAGAGGAAAAACTCCTGTTAGCTACTAAAAATCGTAGCCCTCGTGTCAGTGTAGATACTAGTGTCGACTTCTCCAATGGTTTAAATCAATCCAAGTCTGCCTGGGGTTTTGTCATTGTAACCGCAGGCCAAAGAGGGGAAATCAGGACTTTCCAAAATTTTGGACTGCCAATCCGAATATAGAAGAAGGATCAAACAGGGGAAGTCTTTGCGATTCCACGTTACACACTGCTACAGCCAAGTTTTCGAATTTTGTACAGATTGGTGAGATTTGTAATATTAGTGATTTTTCTTTGTTCTTGTGCTTAGTGCCAGTGGTTCTGGGACTAAAATAGGAGTCTTGCCTGATTAGGCATTGTGAAGAGGGACAAAAATGGAGGGTTGGAAATTATAGTAGTTTTATCAGGATATGGTGATAATATAGAAGCCCAAAAAAAAAAGGGTTACACCTTTGGTTAGAAACCGATGGTTTTTCTGTAATCGGAAATTGTAGAGTTGAGAATTGTGAAAGTGTTTATTGGAAAATGAAATGAAATGAAATTCTTTGAGATTCATTCAACTTCAAGCTGTCTGTCTATACAAAATTGTCAGTGTTTCAGAGAAATCGGAAATTTTTTGTTGAAACCGATGGTTTTTCTGTAATCGGAAATTTCTTGTTGATTTTCCGTGCGATGTTCGATATTTATTTTGAATCCCCAACTAATTTGAATTTGTGTTATGCCTTTCTTTCTTTGTTTACTTAAAAGGCTAGGTAAATATCCTGGGTTCAACATTATAATACCAGCCATTAGTTCTTGATAGGGGTGTACAAAATCGAACCGAAAACCGAACTAAACCGCAAACCGAGAAAAAAAACTCGACTAGTGGTTGGTTTGACTTGGTTTGGTATTGAAAAAAAAAACCCGACTATATTTGGGTTGGTTTAATTTTAACTAAAAGAAACCAACCCGAAACTAAATCAACTCGATATTATATATATAATTTTAAAATTTTATTTTATACATAAAAATATTTACTTTGATATAATTTTTAAATATTTCTTATACTTTTTCATAATTTTTATCTTTTAATATATTATTTCAAGTTTGAAACTTAGATTCTGAATGGTTCAATAAAGATTATAATTCACAGATTTGGTAATTATAATAAAGCTTAAATCAAAATCAAATTAATACTAATGCAAAAAGTAAATCAATTCAACACTAAGAATGACAATAATATTGAATATTTGTTCTTTGGTTTTACATTGGTTTAGACAATTCAAATACATAATCTAATTTTAATTTCCTTTAATATTTAGTCATGTAACTAATACTTATTAAACTTATTTTTGCATGATTTAGTACTTTTAAATTATGATCATTTTCATTATGACTTGTTAATTTGCAATATTTGTCTTACGCGATTTCATTATTATTATTATTTTGTTGGATATTTTAGTGTCATTACTCCTATTATATTTTGTATTATTTTCTTAAGAAACACCTTAGATAGTTGTATTTTGGTAGGACTAAAGAATATTTGAAGTACAAGTAAATTATATGTTTGTATGAATACATTACCGAAAAAATCCAAAAAAACCCACCCGAGGTTGAAAATCCTGAGTTTTATTGGTTTGGTTTGGTTTATAGATTTAAAATTCGACACAAATGGTTTGGTTTGATATTTCAAAAACCCGAACCAACTCGGTCATGTACACCCCTAGACTTCCTGCTATCGACTAACAAGACATTTTGATAAGAAAGTCAACCACGACATAAGTCGCCATCCATTTAGAAGATCCCCTTCTTGAGTAGGGAAGAGAACGAAAATGAACCTCTCTTTGATCCCTCTTTCCGAGTAGGAAAGAGAATGAAAATTTGGTTAAGACATTTTGATAAGAAAGCCAACCACTACATAAGTCGGCATTCATTTAGAAGATTCCCTTCCTGGGTAGGGAAGAGAACGAAAATGAACCTCTCTTTGATCCCCTTTCCGAGTAGGAAAGAGAATGAAAATTTGGTTAAGGCATTTTGATAAGAAAGCCAACCACTACATAAGTCGGCATTCATTTAGAAGATTCCCTTCCTGGGTAGGGAAGAGAACGAAAATGAACCTCTCTTTGATCCCCCTTTCCGAGTAGGAAAGAGAATGAAAATTTGGTTAAGACATTTTGATAAGAAAGCCAACCACTACATAAGTCGACATTCATTTAGAAGATTCCCTTCCTGAGTAGGGAAGAGAACGAAAATGAACTACTCTTTGATCCCCCCTTTCCGAGTAGGAAAGAGAATGAAAATTTGGTTAATTTTGATTTGAGAATCTTACGCGGCAATATCTATTTTAAAACCCCAACAAATCTATATTTGTGTTTTGTATAAAGTGATGAACTCTCTATTAAAACTTTTTCTTTTTTCTAAGCTCAAACTCGAAAATCTTTGATTGATCCAAAACGACAGGACCTATCCATCACACCATCATAACTCTCAACCTGTCCTTTTTCTCTATTTATGTAGTATTACTCTCAACTTGTCCTTTTTCTCTATTTATGTAGTATGATAAGACAATCTTTAATTGATTAAAGTTATATGTACTATGATGAGAAAAAGACTTTAGTTGATTAAGATGGACCCAAAGATAAGAAAATCTCTTAGCAAAGTACAAGCATTATACAAAAAAACAGAAGAAATCTGTGATCTTGTTAACACAAACCAAGACAATATCTTTATCTAAACAATTACAATATCATCACTAGCACAAACACACACAAAAAAACACACCACACATATACTTAGGTACATAATATCTTACATTATTTCTTGTTTGTTTTCAATAAGGTTAAAAAAAGTCCTAATCCTAGACTTCATAAGCAGGAAACCTAGACTCAAATGGCTCAACAAGATCCAAAAACAAACAAGCCATTCCTCCAATTCCTTCAAACAAAGAAAAAGGATGATCACCTTTATGCATAATACCTTCACATATTAAAGTATGAGCTCTATCATGTAGAAAACAAGCAAATGCTTTTGCTTTGTATAAATACTCCTCTTTCCCTGTTAGCCTGTATAGTGATAGAAAAACATAAGCATTCCCACTTATTCCATGACAAATCCCGACTCGTTTGAGCAAACCGCGTCTCCACACTACCTCCCCTGCTTCTCTAGCTGCTTCGAGAAATTCATCATCACCAAAAACCTGAACACAATATCGTCGAGGTTTCAAGAGTATAGTGAAATCATAAAATTGATCTTTGTCACATATATTGTAACTATATGCTAGTAGTAGGTAGCAGACACCTCGTAAAATTAATCAAGGTGCATGTAATGTGACAAAACTTGTACCTTAGCTGCTTTTGCAAGGGTAAGAGCAACACCAGGAGCACCATGACACCAATGGACAAGAACATCTGATTCATCTCCTTCACTAGTACGATAATTTCCACTCGAAAATCGATTCTTGATCATGTACCTTAATGCTCCTTTAACATCTTCAATTTCATCTTGTTTTAGTTCCATGTCTAGTAAAACATTCATAACACCAGCTAATCCATGGGCTGCTCCCCAGTACTTTTTCCCCCTCGATTCGTACATTAAAGGAGATTTAAAATTTTCTAATTTCAACAGTTTTCTACCTGCCTTGATGAGTTCATTCACAACTGCTCTCTGTATAACAAAATTTGAATACCAAGTTATAGTAAGAACATAAAAAAAATGGTCCCTCGTATTCGAAAGTAAGTTCAAAGTAGTCCCTCGGATAAACTCCTGAACAATTTCAATCCATTAAGTTTGTCAAACGTTAACACTTTTAGTATCCGTCAAATATATACCAACACATACAATGTCAATATCTGTTATATTTAAGGGACTACTTCAAAACTACCTCGAACATAAAGGATCATTTTTGTCATTTTCTCGTAATTAAGCTAATATAATTGAGTAGTTAAATTTGCTAATTACCATTTGGGAGATGGATATTGTGCCTTTGCCAAGATGTTTATTTAAGAAAGAACATGCCCATAAGTACCCTGCTCTACCATAAAACAAGTCATCTCCAAGATCTATTGGAAGTTTAATCTGGAAAAAAAACAATCAAATCACAAAATTAATCACGCGGAACATAAATATACGAGCATACAATATGCGTGAATGAAGAATTTACGTTATATTCATCATCAGTATAAGACAATTCGTATCACCATTAGGTCACATTTACCTTGTTATAGCATATAATCAAAATTACAAATTCTCACATTTTACTACTAGATTCAAGTCTAACTAGAAAAATAATCGAATCACATTATCATACGAAAAAGTTTGAATACCTCCTTGAATTTAGTCAAAAATTGTTGACATAATTGATCATCACCATTATTCTTTGCAGCAACAGTACCAAGAGCGTAAATACCTGCGTGCCCGCCTATAAATGTAGGTGGTCTGCATATATTTAACCAAATCTACGTTCAAACGCCTACTAAATTCCGAACACATAATTTCATAATTTGGATATCGAATTTGCCTTTCATCACACATTCTATAATACTACCATGACAAATTATGATCTAAGCTTAAAATGTCGAAAATGACATACTTTTATTTACTTAATTATGTCTTTAGACGTACCCTGAACCATTGCAACCAGCGTCACATGCCTGAATAATATCGGAGCAAAGTGCAAGATCATCGTTGTTTCGAGTAATTTGATATGATTTGAATAGTAAATAAGCAGTCCCTAAAGTTCCAGTGTAGAGTCTGTAGTCATTTACATGTCTTCCTTTTGCTGCCCATGTCTCCCTCACAACCTTATTTAGGAAAAACAAAATTATTAACACACAAAAAATTAATGAATTCAATTATTCAAATGTAGACAAACTCATAAAATTAAGTATGAAAATTGCAAAACATAAATATATACTCCACTGTCTCAATTCATACTACACACATTTTTTTAATCAATTTAAAAAATAATGACGTATTTTATTTTAAATTCGAGGGCGAAAGTAGTAGCCCAGTGTATTTGTATCAATAAATTCATTAAATATGTAAAAAAATATTAATTTAAAACCCAGTAATTACCACTTGTATGTATGGTAAAATTCGGAACAAATTAAATTAAAATCTTAATTCCACTTGTGGTTAAATCTCACTTGTTTAGCAAAAAGTCCATCAAAGTATACTCATAATTTTTTTTAAGGATAATTTTAAAACATGGTAAAATCTCTCTATATTGCTTCAACTTCATATCGGATCATACTATATACATCACATAAATTAAAACGAAACGAAATAAATCCCTAATCTGGTTATGAATTTATAGACTAAATGAGTTTTTCATCTATTAGACGAGTGAGTGTTCGTTTTATTACACATGTTATGAGTTTAACTGAACCTAAAAAATATGTGAACACATTAAATCCAATAGTGAGTTCGATGTCATCTCGATAAACTTTAATTTCTGAATCCATCTCAGTAAATAAAAGAAATTAAAAGTTGAAAGAAAAGAATACTTCATGTTTGAGGTTGATAGCATCTAGCTTGAGTCTTTGAGAAATAGTGTCATAAGGAAGTGAACGAAGTTTGGATAAAGAGTCCTTTGCACTTTCAGGTGCCAATTCTTCAATTGAAAGGCCACCCATTTCATTAGGGTAGTAACGTTCTGCCATCTTTGAGAATTTATTTTTTTTGTGTCTAAACTCAAAAATAGTATATTTTGTGTAGAAAGATGGAATCAATTGAACATATATATACAAAAAGCTTTAGAGTTATCTGGATGATAAGATGTATTTTTTTTTTATTTGGAGACTTGTAGAAGCTAGTAAGATAAATACAAGAAGAAACAAGAATGCACCGCTACTTTTGCATCTCTTCTCTACTTTCTATGGACTCCCTCGTCTCCGTCTCAATTTATGTAACGTTGTTTGACTAAATATGTAATTTAATAAAGTAAGCTATAGATCTTTGGTAAAATTATTACGTACTAAATATAAAGATGTGACATTATTTTTATACCTACTATAAAAAAAAACTTATTACATAAATTGAGACGGAAAGAATATTCATTGTGATCCTATGTCAAAGGTATGAAATTTGAGTCCCATATTAATTTAATGGGAATCGATATGGAATTTATACGATATTAGGGTTTTTTACCTTAATAACTAGTTTTTGAGGTGTGATTTTTTCAAATTTCTTATCATTGCTATCCACACCTATTGCTAGGGGACTCCTTGCATTTGGAAAGAGGTTCAAAGTGATACCTCAAATATATACTTTTTGAACAGTTTGGTACTTTTATGTTAAAAGTGAGCACATTTAATTTAAATATTTAACAAACTTTGATTAATTTCTGCTGAATAAAACAAGAATTAACATGAACCCGCATTTGGAGGTCCAATTTTTTTAATTTATTTTTCTCCATTATAGGTTTGGTACAATATAGTCCTATAAGTGGAATCTGACGAGGGTAAAATGTAAGCAAACCTTATTTTTATCTTGACAATACATCATATGGTAATACATAAAAGATTTACATAGCTGATTCTACAATCTACAGCATATTCTGTATGTACAAAAACTAGAGTTCATAAGCAGGGAACCTTGTTTCCATTGGATCTATCATGTCGAAAAAGAGATAAGACATTCCTCCGATTCCTTCAAACAACGAGTATGGACGATCACCTCCATGCATAACTCCCTCTGATATGAGTGCTTGAGCTCTAGTGTGCAGAAAGCACGCGAAGGCCTTTGCCTTGTACAAGTACTCAACTTTACCTGTCAAACGATATAGTGAAAGAAAGACATAGGAATTTCCACTAACACCGTGACAAATTCCAACTCGTTTGAGCAAGCCTCGATTCCAAATCACCTCAGCTGCTTCTACAGCTGCCTGCAGAAACTCGTCATTGCTGAAAACCTGAAAAGTTACGACAATGATGAGCAGAAATCCCTTCCAGGATCACAGATTTCATCTCATGTCAACGAGGATTGAGGAGTTATATAGTAACTATTAGGATTACCGTCTCTTATAGTTACTATTCCATACCTTAGCTGCTTTGATTAGAGTAAGGGCAACACCTGGAGCACCATGACACCAATGCACAAGTCGGTCAGATTCACTTCCTTCACTTGAAGGGTAATTTCCACTGGGAAAACGATTTCGGATTATGTAATGCAGTGTAGCCTTCACATCCTCGACCTCGTCTGCTTTCAGTTCCATCTCCATAAGTACATGCATTATCCCAGCTAGTCCATGAGCAGCACCCCAATATCTTTTGCCATGCCATTCATACATCAGTGGACATCTTCCTTTCCCCATTTTTCGTCCGGACTTTATAACCTCAGCAACAACTGCCCGCTGCATAAAAAATTTCAGAAGAAATTAAGAGCCATTCATAATGAGGAAGCATAAGACGTCGAAGGTGATTGAATTTGTGAAGTTTCTTACAATTTGGGTCGGAGATATTGTTTCTCTACCAATATTTTTGTTTAAGAATGAACAAGCCCACAAGAAACCAGCCCTCCCATACAACATTTCATTCGGAAGATCTTTAGGAAGCTCAATCTGCATTTGTAGATAGATAATGAGAAGACTATTGACATCAACAGCAAAAGCTTGGAACAATGAAAAGAAACCTCTTTGAATTTTGTCACATAGTGATCACACAATTGTTCATCCCCGCTGTGTTTGGCCACAACTGCACCAAGAGAATAAACACCAGCTTGTCCACATATGAAAGTCACACGCCTGCAGTTTCACAAGTTAGAGTTCAACTTCTCCTCATGAATTTACCTAAAACATGTTTCTATGTGGAAGATCATGAAACAGAAAGTTCGATTGGATTGTCTGGTCGGATCATTTGACTAGTGCTGACTTGAAGTTTCTATTAAACCAATCAGAATGACCGAAGAGTATAGGAAAAAAAATGCAGAACACCAACAAATAGGCCAAATCAAAAACCAGAAAAAATTAAGCACAGTTGGAAAGAAGCTAAATCCTTTGTTATCAATAGAAGGACTAGTGAATCATAAGCAACTTTGCGCAGTAAAACTTATGACACCAAAAGCCTTACCACCACCACCACCGCCGTGCAATTAATATACAATGGATCCTACCAACTGTTACAGGTTTACTCCCATCTGATCGGAGACTAGTTTACTTCATGGTCTTCCCTATCCGATTTATATTAATGGATTACTTGATTATTGAGAGAACGATTTAGAAAAACTCACAAAAGATATAGAACATTCAACTTGAAACTTGAACTAAGGATATATAAAAACAGATAATGGCTTTTCTTATAGTCAACACATGTAGAAGGACGCGGACCTTCTACATGTATCAATTTCCTCCTCCTCTCTTCAACTTCTTTACCTTCTATTTTCCTATTTCACCCACTCTGCATTAGAATTTCATGTAACCATTTGATGATCATTTAGAAGATTTCCAGTCATATACTAGCTATTTAAACCACAAAATGTTTATTTGCCAATCCCAGGGAACATAACAATGAAACTTCAAAGGGTCTTTTCTATCTATGTGCATGTAGTTAGCATCTTCACAGACATGTCTATTTCACAAAATCAAAAGTGAATTCTGCAGAAAGAGAGAGAAAGGGTACCCAGAACCGCGGGAAGCAGAGTCGCAAGCCTTGATAATATCAGAACAGAGAACAAGATCATTCTTGTCAAGAGTAACTTGGTAAGCTTTGAATAACAAAAAAGCAGTTCCCAAAGCTCCAGTGTAAACTGTATAGTCACTCACTCTTCCCCTTTTACATACCCATGTTTCCTTCACTATCTGAAGCATAACAAAATCAAAATCAGAAAGACAAAAAGAAACAGGGAATTTACACAAACACCTGGCAGGCACTTAGAGAGAATTGAGTACCGTTTCTTTGAGATCAAAAGCAACCCTTTTGAGCTTCTCGCAAACAGTACCATAAGGCAAATACAGAAGCTCCAACAGTGGATCTTTTGCCCCTTCAAGAAATGATTCTTCAATTGTAGTTTCATCAACAAAACTAGGCATGGTGTTTGGAAAGAAACGATCTGCCATCTCTTTAATTCCAGGTCTGTTGAATCCTCCGCCGGAACAAATTCTGGAAACTACAGAGCTCTGGTGGTTCTCACAAGACAGAACAGAGCAAGTCTATTAGAGGTAGTGTAAGTTCTTTTCTTTATTCACAAAAATAGATGTCTACATTACTTGTTAAGTCAAGAAAATGAAGATATAGTTTATGGCTTAGGTTGTAATTTATTCTTATTATTAACTATTTATACGTAGACGCAGATCCACCTATGAAAACTTGGAAATTAGTGTATATAACAGTTACTTAATTAATGAATTCAAATGCAGACAAACTCGTAAATTAAGTATGAAAATTGCAAAAAGCATAAATATATACTCCTCTATCTCAATTTATAAGACACACATTTTTTAATTAGTGTTGAACACATACGTTGCACGTGTGTCCTATGTTAATTTTTATAGACTTATTCTGATGATATATACCATTCTTTGAAACAAATTCGTGTAATGAGAGATAAAAAAATGTAATTATGAAAAATATAATTAAATTCATTTTGAAGAATAGTCTAAGTATTTAAGGTTGTCGATGACCAAAAGTAGTAAATACAAAAAGAGTATTATAGCCCAAGTGTTAATTAGAGAAAACTGATTGAGAATGTGAAATAAATGTACATTTATAAACATGATCAAAAGTGATATAATAAAATGAAAACAAAAACCTATTAACACTTAGATACCAACCTTTAATAAAGCTTTTGATTTTGTAAAACTATATCAATTGTCAAACAAAAAATAAAAAGACAACTTCTATTATCACACACAAGATTAGGTAAAAAATAATTAACCAAACAATTAATAAAAAATAATCTCGATATTACTAATATTTGTCTAACTAAACTTTGGGTTATTAATCTATGTACCAATTACCAAACGACCCTTTTATTAATAATAATTTCCACTAAGCACCAAATTTCCGAAACTGACGAACACAACTTGTGCAAGTCCTTTCCCTTCGTTTCTGTCAATGTTGTAGAATTCCGGTGATTTCTCCCTAATCCCGGTATTTTTCTTTTATTATTTAATTTTAAAACTGGGAAGGGAAATGAATGGGGTTAGGAGAACGAGGAGCCTAAAACCGTAAACCCTAAACCCTATTTTGGTTTGTAATCTCATTGAATGCTCTAAGATTTTCACAATTGTTGTAGGTATCTTTTTGACATGATCATGTCAGTACTCATTAAGCTTTTTGACGACACGGTGAAGACCATATCACGGCCTTTAGCTTCGAGACTGATAAAAGGTGCTGCCTCGTACCCAAAATTTAGGCAAGCCACCATCAAAATGGGTCAGGTAAATGATTTAATTCTTTATTTAGGCTGAAAAATTGTAGCAAGTTCTAAAATAATTTTAAAATTGCAAAGCTTCCATTGGACAAGCCAACTATTAACCCTTGTTATCTCTTTTATGTAATTTAGAAATTCTATGATAATCCTGTTGATGAGGAGCTAGCAATGCAGACAACTGTCCAATATCTCGTTCAGTCGACGGTATTCAAAATTTATTGTCGTTGATGTTTACTTTCAAAGTTTATAAGGGTTGCCTCTGACTGACACTCATTTATCACATTTTCTTTAT